GGCGGACCGAGATGAGAAGCCCTCGGAATCAAGAAGGTTGCCTGACCTTCCCTTACCCTTCTGTCTCAGAAATAGTTTGCAAGCTAGCGGCGTGGGTATTGGGTTCTGAGCTCCTGCATGGTGTCATATCTGAGAAATGTTTGCTTAATCGCGTTTTTCCCTTTGTTTTATACTCTCAAGTATTAATTTAGGTCCGTGATTCGTTTGGAGGTAATTTTTGTAAGGGGCGCAGGTGTGGATTCAGTTTCATTCTTTGCATGTGAACTTTTTGTTTCACCTCCCTTTGTCAGGAAGATCGTGCTTTCTTTCCTGCATTGTCTTTGTGCCTTTGTCAGAAATCAGCTGTGCGTAAATGTACACGCGTGGCTGCTGAGCTTTCCCTTCTGTTCAGCTTATCTGTAATTACACTAGTGCCATCCTCTTTGGATGATTTCGGCAGTCTCAGTCCTCTGACTTTGTTCTTCTGTTTCAGAATTGTATGGTTATTTTAGGTCCTTATTTCCATAGAGATTTTAGAATCAGTTTGTTGACTTCTACAAACACATCTCCTGGGATTCTGAATAGGATTTCATTGAAGGTATGGATTCATTTGGGGATGATATTGAATTTTCTGGCCCATGAACTATATAATGAGCCATATATATATATGTAATTATGCTATATAAGTCTTAGACATCTTTTTTGAGATTTATCGCCAATTTCATTTTTAAAGTAATTTACATATTTAGAAAAAATATTTTATTTGAATGTCAGAATTACAGAAAGAGGGAGAGACAGAGAGCAAAGTCTTTCATCCACTGGTTTGCTCACCAGTGATCTCAGCTGGGCCAGGCCAAAGCTAGGAGCCAAGAGTTGCTTCCAGTTGTCCCTCTCGAGTGGTAGGGCTCAATCCTTTGGGCCATTTTCCACTGCTTAATTCACTCTACCACAGTGCCAGCCCTCTGAGCTCACTTGTGAATTCTACTAATTTTACAAAACTCTACCAGATTTTCTATATATATAAATAAGGTTGTGAATAAGCAGGGTTTATTTCTTTCCCTTGGTCACTATGAAATATGACCCTCTCTGTCCCTGATTAAATATTGCTCTGAAATCTTTCATGGCTGATTTAATATATTTAGCCAGATTTTAGCTAGTGTTAGCATTTTTCTGTTTCCATCCTTTTGTGTTTAACCTATTTGTGACTTTACATTTAAGATGCATTGGAAACATTTTACTGGTTCTTATTTTTTTCTTTACCCTGACATGACAATCTCTGTCTTTAATTGGGAGTGTTTAGACATTTCCATTTGGTGTCATGAATAATAAATATGGTTGATTTTGCTCTAGCCCTTTGTCTCTGTTTGTCCCAGCTGTTCTTTATTAAACCCTTTCCTTTTTTCCAGCCTTTTTTTTACAATTGAGCATTTTTTTCTCTATTTTATGTCTTTTACTGATTAATCTAGAAAGAACTTTGCCCTGTTATTTTTGGTAGTTGCTTGGTAGTTTATTATATACATTTTACCCTACTCTGTTATATTGCCTTATGCTTTCATTTCTGCTGGCTAGACTTTTTGATGAAATTTACATGTTAAATTGTCATGAATTTACATGTTTAAGCTCCACAATAGATTATTATTTTTGTTTAAACAACTGCTTTTTAAAAAGCTTTAAATAATAGTAACCAACTCCTCTGTTTAGCCTTGTAGTAATCTTAGAGTGAGTTTCACTCAGTATTTTTAGAAACATCCAGATTTCATACTCTTTAAATGTGTTATTGAGTCTTAGACTAATTATTTTTGTAAAAAAGTCAGCCAACGTCTTTTTTAAATGATGTTTACATAGTTGATCGGGATGGGAAGGATAGAGGGTTAGGGAAAAGTGGGTGAAACTATTGGGTCCAAATTTTGTTTTTCTTCCTCCTGTGTCTGGGATAAGGGGAGAGACAAGTGGAGAAGCTGCACCCAGTCTCCCAACTGCCCCAGTACCTGGGAATGGGGAATGGCCACCCCATATCAACCCAGGGTCCTCGGTGTGGACCCTCGGAAGATCTTCAGTCTGATGATTCACTGCCCAAGTAACCGCAGCAGCTTGAGCTGAACCATTCTGAAGCCAGGAGCCAAGAGCTCTTCTGGGTCTCCCACTCGGGTGCAGGGTCCCAAAGCTTTGGGCTGTCCTCGACTGCTTTCCCAGGCCACAAGCAGGGAGCTGGATGGGAAGCAGGGATTAGAACCGGCGCCCATATGGGATCCCAAGCGTGCAAGGTGAGGACTTTAACCACTACACTATCGCATCGGGCCCTGGACAGTAGATTTCTTTTTTTTTTTTTTTTTTAAGATTTATTTATTTATTACAAAGTCAGATATACAGAGAGGAAGAGAGACAGAGAGGAAGATCTTCTGACCGGTGATTTACTCCCCAAGTGAGTGCAACGGCCGGTACTGTGCCAATCCAAAGCCAGGAGCCAGGAACCTCTTCCGAGTGTCCCACATGGGTTCAGGATCCCAAAGCTTTGGGCCATCATCAACTGCTTTCCCAGGCCACAAGCAGAGAGCTGGATGGGAAGTGGAGCTGCTAGGATTAGAACCGGTGCCCATATGGGATCCTGGCATGTTCAAGGTGGGGATTTTAGCCGCTAGGCCACACTAGTTGGCCCCGTAGATTTCTTTTGACTTCCATTTTCACAGATCTAGATTTGGAAAGTGCAGGAAACTCTTGTTCGTCTGAAATCAGACAGCCAGAAAGCTCAAATGACTATTGTTCTCCCATCCTTAGCTTTTCTGCAAAGCAAGTCAGAGAGAAAATCAGCTGGTGATAATATGGATTTTCATTTCCTCCCTGCCTTCCTTTTCTGCCTCATGTGAGAGTGCAGGTGCTGAGTAGATATCTGATGTGTCATAGCTTCAGTATTAGTAGTGTGGTGTGATTGAAGTTGTTACGACATCTGGAAGCTTTCCAGTGTCCATCCGTATTCCACCCATTGGTTTATCTCCATACCCTCCCCCTTAGCTGTCTTGAACTTCCCCTGCACTAACTTACTATTGTGCAAGCTCTTCTCCGTTCTTAAAGCATTCTTGAACCACACAGATATGGTTAAGTCCCTTGTAATTTCCCAAGTGATAAGGATGATAGGTAGTATTTATTCTCCTACAAAGTTGCTAAAACACTCTGAATTTCCTAAGTGATAGGAGTTACTCAACTTTCATGGTACTTGAGTTTATGCAAATGAGGTGTGAGGGCGGGACCACTAAAAAGCTTCCAGATAGTCTGGTCACGATTATTAAATGATCATTAAGTGAATATTGAAACTTCCAGCTGCACCCCCAGTCTCTGGAAGGTGGTTGTGGATGGGGGGTGCTGGTGATCAAGCTCTATGAAAGCTTCATGCAGATGTGATCAGCTTGTCGGTGGTGAATCCACCTGTGCCCTAGGAGGGCTGCCCACAAATGCCTGTGGGTTCAAGGTGTTTCCAGAATTCACCCTTAGCAACTCTTCACCTTGGTCTTCTAGAACATCCCTGAGGTCTGTGAGCCATCCTAGCAAATTATTCAAACCCTGCGAGGGGGTCGTGTGCACACAGGCTTGTAGCCAGTTCTGGCAGTCCTGTGGGACTGAGCCCTCACCCAGGGAATGTTAACCATTCCCCAGTTATTTCAGTTTGTTTTGGTTTTTTCTCTGGTACACACGGTAATAAACAGGTATATTTGACTGTAAAACTTGTGTATATTTGGTTTTCAAGGCATTTTAAGGGCTCTTGATAACTTTGTACTTTGCTTTCCAGAAGTGTTGTGCTGGTTTAAATTTTTCCAGTGCTATTTGGAAGTGGATGTCTTGCTGCAATTTCCTCAGCATTGATTTGTTTCCATTTTTTGTTCCTTTGTATTTCTGGTTTTGTTTGTTTTCTTTGTTATTAATTTTTTTTCCATTTTTAAGCCTTTTTTCCCTACTAATCTGGTTAAAATGGTAACTTTCTTTTTAAATTGCCTTTTAAATATAGTTATAAACTGTGTATGTATTCTTTTGTGTAGCTAACTAGCAGTATTTTCTCACCATGTAAAACCAATCTGAATATTCTTGTAAAGTAAATTTTAGTAATATGGATTGCCCTGAATTTGGATATACCACAGTCATTTCATTTTGATCTGCAATTTTCAAAATATATGCAATTTTGAAAATCATTAAAGGAACAATGACCTAAATACTGTTTTACCATAAGACTGATTGTAATGTGTATGTTCTTCAAGCGAATTAAAGACGTTGTTGATTTTGACACTGCTTAGAAATGAAAAGTAGCTGTTGAAATTTCTCGGGAAGGTTGGGACTTGCAAGGGAAGCTCAGTCAGAGGTTGTACCTGGCAGGGAGGAACTAGTTGGTGCTGGTAGGACATTGTAACTCGGCTATCCTGTCCTGCCAGTGTACCTACGGCCTGGAGTTAGCCAGCCTTGTGACCATCACCGATTATTTAACTTTTCTATTTCTCAATATTTGCACCAATTGGTTTTTTCCAGATGCAAAGAACTTTGATTTTGCGATCCCAGGGCTGGAGTGTCTATGTGAACCCAGAGCTTTTCTTGTGAATAGCTGCAAATATGTCGGGAAAGCAATTCTTGCTCCAGACACCTTGAGGAAAAGAAGGGGCGGGGGGGGGGGGGGGGGATTCCTCATAACAATTAAGTGGGTTTTTTTTTTTTGATTGTTTGTTTTGTTTTTTGTTTTTTAAGGGAAAGTGGGTTTCCTAATCCTGGATTCTTTTCTTCTGATATGTTATTTTTCCTGAGCCAGACAACTGTACATGCAGTGTTTTCGCTTTGCATGTGTCAGCAGATGGTAGTCTGGATAAGTGGAAAGAGTACAGGGAATTTCTTAAGCCTGGCTGTTGTCTAAATACAGAGATTACTTAGGAGGAAAAAGTAGCTACGGTCAATGCTGAAAGAGAAAGTACTTAATCAGATGCTTTAAAAGTCGTGATTAAACGCTAGCCCAACCCGCGGCTCTGGCTGCTCTGTGTTCGATTTGCCAGGTCTGGCTCAATGTGCCGAGCTGTGCTGGCAGCTGAGAGGGGAAGCCGGAAAGAGGCAAGTTCCTGGAGCGAAGGTTGCTCTGCAGCATAACCTGGGTCTCGGAGGAGCTGCGGTGGTCACTCTCTACAGGATGGGGTTTCCCGAGGCCGCCAGGTAAGTCTGCTGACTTTCCTTTCGGGGAAGTCTTTCCCTGTAAAGCAACCCTAGTAGTATTGTCTTAGGATTCAAAGAAAAGTATCTAGTTCCAGTGCTGTAATAACGCGGCTTTGAGACTGGCCATCAGGTTTTAGCTATAAACCAACCTCGGGGAAGTTCTACTCAGGAAAGAGAGGTGCTGGGCCAGAAGGTGGAGCCGTGGTCACCCTTGCTTTCCTGTCCCCTGTCAGTGCCCGCAGGTGCCCTCTGGCCTCCGGATTCCTGGTGTCTCTGGCTGACTTTGTTCCTCTTGGTCAAGGGCCTGGCCATCAGAGAAGTGTCCCTCTTTCCCCAGGGGGGCAGCTGTCCTTTCCCTCTGAGCCGACTCTCCTCCTGGGCAGTTCATTTGTTTCCAGCCTCCTGCTGTCATTTGAGGGTTGGCATCTTTGCACCTTTCTCTTTCCATTCTCTCCATGTGCAGACATGTTCAGCGATTCCTCAGAAACTACCCTGTCTTCTTCACTGTGGTCTCTCCTGATGAGCCCTCTCTCCTCGCTTTTCCACGCTGGAGTATTCCAGTCTGATTTCTTACCACCTAAGGCAGGATCACCAATGGTCTGAATGAAATGAAAATGTCTTTATTTTCCCTCCTCACTCTAATCCTACTGCAATCTTGAATACTGATTGTTTCTTGAAGTTCTTAGGGATTGTTTAATCATCTGTTCACACTCTTTTTCCGCAAAGGATATGGGATATACCTCATTTATAGAATTAGTCGTAATTCTTACTTTTTATAAGCTCTGAAATATCTTTATCTTCTCACTCTTCTGTCCATAATATCATTTCTGTGGCAAAAATTCTGTCTTTCACAGTTCATCTCTTGAAATACCCACAGCACTCGGTCCCTCTTGGATTCTATCCCACTTGGTTTGATCGCAGTGTGGTGCAGCTTGTTGTGATTCTGCTGTATGAAATGGATATGCCTAAAATCATGGCTTACTCTTCTTGCTCCTGGACTTTCTCTTTTTTTTTTTTTTAAGATTTATTTTTATTATTTTTTCATTGGAAAGGCAGATATACAGAGAGGAGAGAGAGAGAGGAAGATCTTCCGTCCGATGATTCACTCCCCAAGTGAGCCGCAACAGCCGATACTATGCCGATCCGAAGCCAGGAGCCTCTTCCGGGTCTCCCACGCGGGTGCAGGGTCCCAAGGCTTTGGGCCGTCCTTGACTGCCTTCCTGGGCCACGGGCAGGGAGCTGGAAGGGAAGCGGGGCTGCCGGGATTAGAACCGGCACCCATATGGGATCCCGGGCGTGCAAGGCGAGGACTTAACCACTTGCACCACTGCCCCTGGACTTTCTCTTAAAAGGGTGAATATTCATTGAACTGAATTAAGTAAAAAGTATTGAATCTTAACTTTATTCCTAAGCCTGATTTCTTCATCGTGCTGATCTCTGTGAAACTCTCAGTAGAATCTTTACAATAAGGAGCTCCTGTAGCTACCATGTTAATGTGGCTGATTTGCTCAGAGCAGGACGACATGAAATTTGGGATCATAGGAAAGCAGAATCCTGAAATAAATTCACATAATTTGTTAATGATTAATAATAAATTAGCTTGACATATTGCAAATATTTTGGTAGGTTTCCTAATAGAGCATAGCTCAAACAACGGCCAGAGTTGGAGTTTTTAAAACTTTAACTCTGTGCAAATGTAATTTTAAAATGTTACTGTGGTTTGGCTTTATTTTATTTATTTTTAAAAAGATTTAATTAACTTATTTGTGGCTTGGCTTGCTGCACCACAGTGCCCTATCGATAGTTTGGTTTTAAGTGCAGGAATTTTAGGCTTCCCATTGTGCATCATCTACCTTGCGTAGTTACTCATTTAGCTGACTTGGAAGGAGAAACTACTGCATGTTTAGACCTCCTGAACATGCCCTTCTGTGGGCAAGGAAGGGTGTTCTTTCCTTAAAACACAGTGGGTGCTCAGAGGAAGCACTGCCATAGAGAAGGTAAATTGGAACTGGTAAGACTGGTCTTGCCTGGCAGAAAGGCAGAGACGGTCCTTCCAGGCCTGTACATAGGTGGAGAGGTTTAAAAATACAGAGAGGTTGGGCAAGTGTTGTGTGGGTTAGAGCGTAGATTACCTTGTGTGTACTTGTGTAAAGGGCCAGGGTTTATACTGTGTAGGTGACAGGACTTGCCTCAAATGCTGTGCTCAGGAGTGTAGAACTTACCCTGGATGTAGGTTTTAACAAAAGATCAAGTGAGCGTATCATACTGTGCCATTATTTTGAACTGGATGATGTGGCAATCAGAAACTAGGAGTGTGTAGGAGGCCATTTTAGTAATATAGACTTGGAATGTTTAGTGCTACAACAGGGCCTTGAAAACAAAGAGGAGAAGTCAAACTTAAGCCCTGTGACCAACTGCATTTGACTTGTACTTAAACTGTAGGCCAGTTTTGAACATGGATATTGACTATAGATGAAAATATCCTATTCAGTTTTTCTAAATAGGGAGTTTACACAGACTGAAAGGAAGTAAGCTTGAATTCTATACTGTATTAGATGAAACCTGTTGTAAAAACTCAACTTCATTTTGATTTTTCATCTGAGTTATAGTATAATTCACATACAGTAAAATTCACCTGTTTTAGTATATTTCTGTAAGTTTCAACAAGCGTAGAGTCAGCTACCACCATGATCAACATATCAGTTCTAAGCGATACAGAGGAGAGACAGAGATCTTTCATCTGCTGATTTACTCCCTTGATTGATCAATTGATCAGTTGATTGATTGATTTGAAAAGCAGAGTGACAGAGGGAGAGACAGAAGCCTTCCATCTGCTGGTTTACCCTCCAGATGCTTCCTAGCAGCTGGGGCTGAGCCAGGCTCAAGCCAGAGCTGCTTCTAGGTCTCCCACATAGGTACAGGGTCCCAAGGCCTTGAGCCATCTTCCACTGCTTGGAGCTGAATGGGAAGTGGAGCAGCTGGGACATGGACTGGCACTCATATGGGATCCTAGTGCTTGCAAGGGGAGAATTTAGTCACTTGGCCACCATACCAGGCCCCCTTGATGATTTTTTAAGTTAATTATTTGTTTTGTTTATTCACTAGCACTCTGTTGTAAGGAAGAGGTCCCCCTTGTGCTCTAGTTGACAGATTTTGTATATGTACTGTAGGAACTCATGGATTACTGTTTTATTCAATATAGCAATTATTTTGATGCTCAGTTCCTCTGACTTAGCCAGTGGAAAGTCCTTCAAGCTGGCTCATAGGTCCCCATGATTCTCCTCAGACCTTGCTTTCTGGCTCAAGAAGATGTTCCAGTCTTGCCCTGTTCTTTCCATGCCGTGACACCAGCTTCAAAGAATCCTGGTTCCTTTTGGAAACCACACGTGACTGGCTGCTGTGTGGTAGACCTTCGCAGCGCACAAGCCCTACAGTAGTTCCCTTACAACTAGCGACTTAAAGGACACATATAATAACCTGAAATGAATTGTATCTGCCTCTATACGCATCTAGCCCCCAGTTTGTTAGCAATTATGTAAGACTAGTTAGGTACCACCTTAGGTGAAATCGCTTAAATTTTTATGCGCTGTGATTAGCAGGACAGTGTTGATCTATGGGAAGAGTACCATGTCAACTTTCCTTTTGTTAAGAAAATATTGAAAACAGTGCTTAGGAACACAGTAACTTAGAAGTGAAAAAAACAAACCATACACTACCACATGCAGTTGTTCAATAAACTGGCAGATTTCTTGGTGCATTTTCAGTTGTGTTTTGTATTTCTCTAGGTCAGGAGTGTTGTTAAATGGGAAACATGGTTTTGTTGATTAAAATGCAGCTATCACTTAGAGTTTTGGAAGAAATGAGCATGAGTCTTTAGAATGGGAATACTTCTGGCTGGTCACCTTGCACATGTGTCCTGGGAGGACCTGCTTACACCTTGCACCATGTCCTGTAGGCTGTTCTGGCTGGGATGGGACTGCGTGCCTGCTCTGAGGTCAAAGGGAGTTGCTGATTGCAAATTTACTTTACTCCCTAGTACTTCTATACATTGAGCAACAATCCCTAATCAGAATGAATTGATAGCTGGCTAAATGTTAATCTGAAGATGAAGATTTGATTAAAATGTAGACTTTTGTATTCTTCACAAACATTAAGAATACCAGCAGCCACTTTTAAACAGCAATTTAATCAGAGACCTAATTCATAAGTCACGCAATTCATCCAATTAAAGTGTACTTTCTGTGGTTTTTAGTACATCACATTGCTATGCAGCTAGTACCATAATCAGTTTTTGAGCATATTTATTACCCCAGAAAAACTGTATGTATCCACTAACTACCCAACCCTTCTTCCTTATAATTTCTGACAGCCATGTACTTTGTATTTCTATGGATTCTCTTAATGGATATGTCATATAATAAAGAACATATGTTGTGTGATCTTTCGTGGTTGGCTTTGGTCTGGCCCAGCCCTGGCTGCTGCGGCCATTTGGAGAGTGAACCAATAAATGGAAAGATCCCTCTCTATCTCTCATGTAACTTTCAGAAATAAATATATCTTTTAGAAAATCCAAAATTTAGTTTGTACCAGAAGAATTTTGTATGTAAAGAATTCACTAGAACATTGTTTTGTCAGTATCAGTAGTCTTTTTCTGAGATTAAATTGTTACATTTAGTAGTTTTAGAAGAGAGCTCTAAGTTTTAAGGAGTGAGAGATTTTTCAGCAAATATTGATGAAACTTTGTATGTGACCTTTCTTCCTAATTGTAATTGGTTAATCAATAGCTTGATGAGCTTTTCAAATCAAATAAGATAGAGAGATCTGTGACCTTTGGGAACGTGGTTGGACACTGCTCCAAGAGGATCAAGATATTTTGTACTAGTGTCAGTAATTATTTTATCATACACTATCATATATGTAACTAAGAGTTCACAAGTTTAGAGGTGATGACTGATGCTGAAAAAATCAGTCATTAATGAAATGAAGCTGGCCCTCTGTCTTCCTGCCCTACTCAGAGATTGACTAGACAAATGTGTCCCATTATGCTGTAGATCATTCTACTCTGTATGCAAAAGGAAGAGCTGGGGATTGGAGTAGGGCAAGTTCAGCTCCTTTCAATCACTGCGTATTTGCTGTGTGATTGTGTGCTGAAAAGTCCTTTTTTTTTTTTTTCTTTAAAGTTGTAAATCTGCTCTTGAGAAGCTGTGGAGTCTGACAGAAGGAGAGTTTCCTGAGTTGAGCCTTGAGAGGGAAAGGGAATTTGCAAAGACTGGGCCCTCCCAACACAGCAGTCTGTGATGGCAGAAATGTGGTGGGCTTGGCTGGAGTTTGGGTTTCACTCTGTGATCATATGAACATGATTCCTTTAGTAGTCTCATTTTTCGACTTTAGATTTTCCATACATACCCTTTCATCCTCTCTGCTGATCATTTTGCCTTATACTTTATTGAGAAAATAGAAGCCATTAAACCCAAACTCTGTTCTCATCTGTTACGAGATAGCCACAACTGCACCCAGCTGGTCCTCTGCCTGCCTTTGAATCATATCCTGTCACAGGCTGCTGAATCCCATCCCCTGTTGCCTCCTCGAGATTCCTCTCCTCACATCTCCTTTCTCCTGGGTCGTTGCCATTGACAGGCCAACATGCTCTGATAGGTTAAGTCAGACCCTCCTTGAGATGCTTTCCTGTGCTGCAACAAGCCTGAGCCTGGAGGATGTTACACTAGGTGGTAATCAACAAAAAGGCAAATCCCGTGTGATTTCACCTATGAGGTACTTAGAATAATCATATTCATTAGGACAGAAAGTAGATGGTTGCTAAGTTGGGCAAGGGGACAAGCAGGTATTAGAGTTTACTGGGTAAAGAGTTTTCTGTTTTACAAGTTGAAACAATTATGGAGCTGGATGGTGGTCATGGTTACATAAGATTCTAGTCAACATTTAATACCAGTCATCATTCATTTAGAAATGATTAGGGTGGTAAATTTTATGTGATGTGAATTTTAACACAGTACAAACAATGGAAGAAACTAAAAGAGAACTCACATATGTCCATATCCAGAAGGAAAGCTACATTTCCATTAGATAGCTGTCAAAATAAAGATGTTACTTGTGTCTGCCCTCCAATAGCCACATCTGTTTTGATACCACAGTCCCTTTCAGTGACCACTCCATGTACTGTCCTCCTAAAAGTAACTTTCAAAAGAGCCCTGGTGTCTCATTTTCACTCTCCCCTGTCTTCAGCTCACTGTAATCTGACTTCCACCCTCCACCACTTGAAGTGCTCTGTCCTGGTCCTTGTCCTCCTCATGCTGCCGAATGGCCTGACCTTTTGGCAGCACTTACTGCTTTAGTCCTTCCCCAGACACCCTGTGTCCTCACAGTTCCCTGGCTCCAGGCTGTCCGGAATCGTCTTGCATCAATCACTGCCTGCTGCTTCCTTCTGTGTTCCAGACCACTAAGCAGGGCTTCAAGGGTTATCCTCTTCCCAAGAGTCTCCCACTGTCTAGGCAGTACATGTCAGTGTGCTGCTGATGACTGCCTGTGGACTTTGGTGTCCAGCTGCCTTCTCATCTCACAAGTAGCTCATGTGGAATGTACCCAAAGGAGAAAGTGGTACCCTTCACTTCCCTGCATCCACCTTTGTCTGAAATGGCACTACCATCCTCCATTACTCAACCCAGAAGGCTGACTCATCCTTGCTTTTCTTCTGCTCTTATACAAGGGTTCCTCAGAAAGCTTGTGGGGAGATGAAATTAAAAGATGTTTACTTTGGTGCAAATATTTTTCAAAATCCTTTTCATAGTACATATTCCCCATGAGCTTTCTGAAGACCCCTGTGCTTCCCTCGCTCCCAGCAGCGGAGCCTGTGTGTTCTAGTTCCAGTTGAATTACTTCTTGCTCCCATCACCCCTGGAGACAGCTGCCTGATCCCAACCACCATCACCTCTTGTTGGGAACCCCTCTGGCAGCCTCCCCAACTTTTTTTCTTTCCGTCCCTTTTCCCTTTGTTCCTCTGTACAATTCCAAGAATAACCACAGATCAGCTCTTCCACTTCCCTGTTGCTGTTTCTGTGAAGTGCTCTATTCCCTAGATGGCAGGATCCCCTTCTGGTCTCCGTCTGTTTCATGTGACCTCATGCTCTGTGTCCTGTCCCTGCCGCCCTTTGCTTTCTTTTAACACGCCAAGTTCTCTTCTCCCTCAGGATCTTTGCAGTTTCCTCTTAGGATAGCTCCTCTCCCTCCCACCTTGCCTTTTTCTTCTTTTCATAGGATCTTAGCATCAGTTCACTTGTAAGAGAATTTCCTCACTGGCCTGCCTGCATAAAAATGATTGGGGGTGGGGAGCTCAGTGTTATGTGGTATAAATTTTAACAGTAAAAACATTTAGAAAAGATACTTTCAAAGTTCTAGAACGCACACATGTCCACATGCAGAAGGAAAGCTGCATTTCTCTAAGATATCAATTAAATAAAGATGTCAGGTTTTCTTTGTTTGCTTCCTACAATTTGATTGCTTGCAGTGTGCAGTTATTTTGTGTCTTCTGTTTCTCCTCTAGTGGAAGAGTGTAAACTCACTGGATCTGGTGTTGCCATTGTGTCACTGGGCAGACATTCATTATTCATGTTATGGCAAGGAGCGGTCATTTAGTATTTATGAGATGAGGAAAAGGAGAGATGGATGGGGGTGTTTTGGGAAGGCAGAGGGAAGGAGAGGAGTAGATGAGGAAAGACTTGTTTACTGAGCCGCAGCTGCAGTCCTGAGCCTTCACACAGTTCCCTGCGCCAGGTCCAGTCCTATGCCTGGGTCTGTCAGAGGGATGACCCGACAGCCTGAGGGACTCTCCTCTTCCTAAACCCCACACGTGAAGTTGTGGCTGTGTTTGTGGATTGTGGTCAGCTGCCCTTCCCCCAGGATCCCACTGAGGCTTGCAGTCACGAACATTGTGCACCTTCTTCCCCACCTCCCCACTGTGTGCTGAGCTGCAGAAACTGGCTCCAAAATGTGTCACCAGGTGCATCGGGTGGCTTCTGGGAGGCCAACCCAGGCCTTTGTAAAGGCTGTATTCCCTCTGCCACCTTGGGCTGTTTTCTCTAACTACTTCCTAAGCAGGTAACTAATGGCAGATGATGTTAAATTCTTGCATTTCAGGAGAAAATGAATCTTGAGTCCAACTCTGCTTACTGTCCATTCCTGTCCAACCTTCTGTTGACATCTTCCTATGCCTCAACCACAGCAGTGCTCACTCATCCCACTGTCTACCTGCTTGACTCTCTGGGCCATTTGTCCTCTGAAAGCCACATTTATTTTATTTTTATTGATTTACCTATTTTTAAAGATTTATTTATTTGAAAAGCGGAGTTGGAGAGGAAAGGGGAGACAGACCAAACCCAAAAGCCAGGAACTTTACCCATGCTTCCCAAATATCCAGTTCATATCCGACCATTCTTCTTTATATTTAAAATAATATTGAAATACTTGCCCATGACCTATGAAACTCCCTTCTGTCTTTGACCTTAAATCCTTCCATTATACTCCAGCTGTATTGGGATTCTTATATGAGGGGATCTTCTAAAAGTTTGTGGAAAATGCATGTTAAAAAGCAATTTTACATGAATCTCAAAATTTTTTTGCACTAGATAAACTTAATTTGGCTTTTCTGTGAGCTTAAGAATTATGTTTTCATTTATTTGAAAGACATTCAGTCTGGATCTTCAATGTAAGTGATAGGGACCCAAACACTCCTGCCGTCACCCACTGTCTTCCAAGGTATGCACCAACAAGAAGCTGGGTTCCATGAATTCTTGGAAGTATTTGCATATTTCCCTAATGGCTGAAGATGTACATATTTGAAAGGCTGAGTGGTGGAGCCATCTTCTGCTGTATTCCTAGGCACTGGTTCATATACTGACTGTTCTGCTACTGCTACCAGTTAAGCTCCCAGCTAAGCACCTGGGAAAGCAGTGGAACATAGCTCAAGTGCCTGGATCCCTGCACCCACGTGGGAGACCAGAATGGAGTGCCTGGCTCCTGGCTTTGGCCTGGCCCAGCCCTGGCTGTAGCAGTCACTTAAGGACTGAAAGGGCATACATAAGATATCTCTCTCTCTCTCTCTCTCTCTCTCTCTCTCTCTCTCTCTCTCGGTCACTCTGCCTTTCAAATAAATCTCAGCTAAATCCTCACCTTGAAAGTACTGGGATCCCTTATGGGCACTGGTTCGTGTCCCGCCTACTCCACTTCTCATGAAGCTCCCTAGCTCCCTGCTCATGACCTGGGAAAGCAGTAGAATATGGGCCAAAGTCTCCGGACTTGGCACCTGTGTGGGAGATCTAGAAGAAGCTCCTGGCTCCAGATTGACTCAGTTCTGGTGGTTGTGGCTGTTTGGGGAGTAAACCAGAGAATGAAATATCTTTCTCTCTTTCTCTCTGTAAAGCTGATATGCCTTTCCAATCAAAATAAATAACTTTTTATAAAAGTAAGTAATTAAGTAAATCTTTATCCCCTTACCCTGCCTTACTTCCTTCATAGGAACCACAGTCTGCTTTTGGCTTGTTAATTGTGACTTCATTGAGGGTAGCGTCTTTGGTTTATTGTACTTTCAAGAACACTGCCTACAGTGAGCACTCAATTTTTGCTGAAAAAACAATGAAATGAAAAGCTTAATTGTTTTAGGTTTTTACTAAATATATTTTTGGGGGATAAGAGTTTTAACATTGTTCTTAGGATTTTTGAAAATAACTATTGTATAAATATTGAAAAGCTTATACCTATGTGGCTCCACAAATTATAATTCTTCTCCCCTGTTCTTTCAGAACCCATCAGATTAGGGCTTCTCCAACCAGCTCTGCGGGTGATGGATTTAAGGCAAATCTCGTCTTTAAGGAGATTGAGAAGAAGCTTGAAGAGGTAAGATTTTACACAAATCTTACTGGAAGGGCCCTGAAGCAAGAGGGAGTAGACATGGATTTCAGGTGTCACCAGGAGGTGGTAATACAAGCCGAAATTTTTATCTTGTTGCCAAGTCTAAAATGTATTTCAGATATCTAAGTGTCGGTAAAAACGTTCTTATAATTTAAAAGTACATTTCTAGAGAAGTAATTTTAGATTTGACCCATGAACTATAATAAATGATCTTAAAATGTCACTCTTAGTACTCTCTTTGTCAAGGAGCTACTGAATTAGAGAAGTTCATATGTAAAGTAGTTTTATTTCTTTTGGTGTAATTTCTTCTGAAATTAAAACATCTTGTGTGGGATTGTTACAAAGGATGATTAAAATGAGTCTTTAAATGCATGTGATAGCAAACATTATTTTCAAAAAGAAATAGTTTTGTGTTTTTTTCCAAAGTAGTTGCCCTCGCCCCAAATATATTATTTATTTGGGGCCGGCATTGTAACAGAGCTGGTAAAGCCATCACCTGCAACATCACCACTCCCTATGGGCGTACGTCCAGATCCTGGCTGCTCTGCTTCTGATCCAGCTTCCTGCTGATGGCCTTGGAGAGGCAACAGAAGACAGCCAAAGTGCTTCGGCTCCTGCTTTCTACGTGGGCAACCTGGGAGAAGTTCTTGGCTCCTGCCTCAGCCTGGCCCAGGCCTGCCATTGTAGTCATCTGGGGAGTAAACCAACACATGGAAGATAGATCTCCTCTCTCTCCTTGCTGCTCGCTCCCTCTAACTCTGTAAAATAAAGAAGTAATTTTTTTTTTTTTTTGGAAAAAGGCCATACTTATTTATTTGGAAAACCGTGTCAGAGGGGGACAGGCAGAGAGAGAGAGAGAGAGAAAAAAAAAAAGAGTTTCTATTCCATTGACTGTTCCTATTTCATTCTCTCCCCAAATGGACTTAACAGCTGGGGCTGGGCTGGGCCAGCCTGAGATCAGGAGCTTGGCATTGCACCTGGGTCCTTCAGCTGGGTGCAGGGGCCCACGGCCTTGGGCTGCTTCCCCAGGCTCATTAGCAGCAAGCTGGGCTGGAAGCAGAGCAGCTGGGATCAGGTGAATGCAGATGCCAGTGTCCTAGGCTGCAATTGACCTGCTTTTCCATAGTACTGGCCCCTCAGTGTAGTTGTTAATTTGCTATTTTCTTGTTGTAAAAAAAAAAATTACAGTAATTAAAAAAAAATCACAGTATATAGAAATGCTTAAAAGTTTAAAAAATTTGAAGTCTTTACAAAATCTGTCCATTAGAGTTCACTAAAAACAGTAGTGAACATTCTTTCAGATATCTCTCTGAGATATCTAAGTAGGAAAACATGATGCCTGTGGGTTTTTAAGTTATACTCTACATACAGATCTGTTTTAGGGCATAATAATTTGTCTTTGATAGCAAATAATCTCTAAAGCAACTGAAGAATAACTCTCCAAAAAAACCAGTTATTCTCTTTAGGTAAAATTAGATTTAATTCTGTTTCAAATTTTGGAGCAATATGAGATTTCATTATTGATATTAGATCTGAGACCATATAAAGCTTGGGTTTAGCCATAGTGCATGTCCGTTATGGTGGTCAAAGTGAGTTGAAATAAACGTTTGTGGAGGGCAAGCAAACAATGTGCATGTTTCCTAACTCCCTTTCTGCTGTGTCAAAGGACTTGTTAGCATCCAAGGGGGAGAACAGCTGACATGCCTGTTGTGTTTGTGAGAGAGCCTTCCTTTTCAGGATTTTCATAATGATCAGCAGCTTTCCTGAGGAGGAGCAGGGCCAAGCTGAGTGGTGTGCCCAGGAGCTGTCAGCTCATCGCTTCTCCAACTTGGAGGAGTACACCTGTAGGTCCTTTTCTTTTGACAAGTGTACCATGGCTGTAAATGGTAAATCCTTACCATCATTTTTTTTTTTTTAAGATTTGTGTTATTGGGACTGGTGTGGTGATATAGCAAGCTAATCCTCTACCTGTGGTGACGACATCCAATGTGAGTGTAGTTTGTGTCGCTGCTGCCCTACTTCCCATCCAGCTCCCTGCTGATGTGCCTGAGAAAGCAGTGGAAGATGGCCCATGGCCTTGGGCCCTTGCACCCATGTGGGAGACCTGGAAGATCAATCCAGTTATGGCTGTTATAACCATTTGGGGAGTGAAACAGGTGCAAGATTCCTTTCTAACTCTGACTTTCAAGTAAAATAAATTTATCTTTTTAAAGTTTTTTAAACAATTATTTTATTTTGCTTGAAAGATTTACAGAGAAAGAAAAGGAAAGACATCTTCCATCTGCTGTTCACTCCTGAGATGACCACAACGGCCGGGCCAGAGATGAGCTGAACAAAGCTGGGAGCCAATGGCTGTAGGGGCCAAAGGCCTTAGGCCATCCTCTGCTGGCTTCCCAGGCCATTAGCAGGGAGCTGGATGGGAAATGGAGTAGCCAGGACTCCAACTGTCACCCACATGGGCTGCTGACACCACAGGTGGAGGGTGAACAGTCTGTGCCACTGTTCCAGCCCCTTTACCATCACTTTTTCAGAAAGGTTTATCTTTTTTATTTGAAAGACAGATGTATTGGGAGAGATGGAGAATATTTGATCCTCTGGTTTACTCCCCAAATGGATACAATAGCTAGGGCTCAACCAGCCAAAGCCAGGGATGAGAGCTTCATCCAGATCTCCTACATGGGTGTAGAGGACCAAGGGTTTGCACCATGCTTAGCTGCCTTTCCCAGGTACACTGACAGGGAACTGGACTGGAAACAGAGCAGCTGGGACTCAAACTGGTGTCCATATGGGCTGGTGGAGTTGCTGGTGGTAGCCTAACCCACCGAACCAGAGCAGCAGCCTCTCCATTGTTTTTGGTGTATGGTTCATTCATGTCACTCTGCCAAAAATGTTTAACAGGCCTCCTCTTTAATGAACTTTGGGTTGTTTTCAAGTTGTACAAAACAGTGTGGTGCTGAATTTCCTGTTGTGCTCATCTTGAAGTATTTATGCCATAATCATTTAGTATAAACAGTTACAAGGGAGATATTGTTGGGTGGGTCAGGTTTGTGTATTTGGCATTTTGATACATGTTGCTAAATGACCTTCTAGAAAGAGGATGCTGATTTGCAAGCTTACTAATGATTAATAAAGGTAATTTTGTTTCCTTTACACAGTCCCCAATATGTGGGCTGGGTCTTAAAGTCTTTGCTAAATCTAGTTTTTTGTGGGGAGAAAAAAAAAAACTCTTGCTTTTTAAATTTCCCTCATTACCAAGTATCCACTATAAGAAGAAATTAAGCTCTGTAAGGGCTCGACGTAAAAATTTTCCTGCATGGCAATCTACAGGATTGTAACTTCTGCCTGTTCTATCAAAAACAGTTTTTTTTTAACGTTTGTTAGGTGTGAGATAGGACTGTATGTGTCAGTCACTGACTGTTTCACTCTTGGGATTAACGGGCAGTGTTGCTTTTCTTTTGCCATCTTTCTGTAGCTTTGCAAGCAGATGCCATTTTAATTCTTTCTCTTCCATAATCTCACCCAAATGGACCTTGTTCCATTTTTTCTTGTTCTCCTTCCCACGATTGTCAGTTTCCTTAATGAGTAGCAGAAAGTGAAAGTCTTGGAATCCTGTGTCAGTTCATGCATTTTCTACAGCAGCGAAGGCAGCCTGGCAAAAAGAGATTTTATTTCTGCTTTTGTCTTTGTGAACGCTACTGCATTGCCCTTCTTTGAATTCTGTCTTAATTTTTTTTATCCCTGCTAAGTTTACCGAAGGACCTGCTCCGTGACCTTTTGCCTACTCAGAAAGAAGTACTTTTCTTCAGGCAAAGAGGCACTTAGAACCTTCCTAGCACTGGTGATCTCCAGTTTCGCAACTGTGTTCTTTTCCCTTTTGACTCTCTACCCTCCTCCTCCTGTCCTTACCCACTCTGAGGCCTGCTTCAATTGAGAAGTGTTTTATTGACCAAGGATTGTGGATTTGTTTTGAGGTTTACTTTTTCACGTGAAAGGCAGAGTGGAGGGCGGGGGGGGGGTCACTCATCCTCTGCTCACTCCCAAAGTGGCCACGATGACCAGGCTGAAGCAAGGAGACAGAAACTCCAGCTGTGTCTTCCACCTGGGTGGCAAGAGCCAAGCATCTCTGTATGCTTTCCCAGGCACCTTAGCAGGAAGCTGGATCAGAACAGAGCAGCCAAGCCTGGCACGATGGCTCAATTGGCTAATCCTCCCCTTCAAGTACTGGAATCCATTATAGGAACTGGGTTTCTGAGTTGGAAGATCAGACAGATGCCAGAGTTGTTGCCTGCTTGCCTTTCAGACCTTCAGGAGCCTGGGAAATGTCTAACAGCCCAGCTACTCACAGCATGGGTCTGTTGAAAGTTTACTTTGCAGGCCTGGCGCGGTGGCGCAAGTGGTTAAGGTCCTTGCCTTGCACGCCCGGGATCCCATATGGGCACCGGTTCTATCCCGGCAGCCCCGCTTCCCTTCCAGCTCCCTGCCTTGTGGCCCGGGAAAGCAGTCGAGGACGGCCCAAAGCTTTGGGACCCTGCACCCACGCGGGAGACCCGGAAGAGGCTCCTGGCTTTGGACCGGCATAGCATCGGCCGTTGCGCTCACTTGGGGAGTGAATCATCGGACGGAAGATCTTCCTCTCTGTCTCTCCTCTCTGTATATCTGCCTTTCCAATAAAAAAATAATAAAAATAAATCTTTAAAAAAAAAAAAAAGAAAGTTTACTTTGCTTACCAGAAAGCTGGAGAAATGGACTTAATGTAACTCCCACTGTTACTTTTCTTTCCAGGAAGGAGAACAGTTTGTGAAGAAAATCGGTGGTATTTTCGCCTTCAAGGTGAAGGATGGCCCCGGGGGTAAAGAAGCCACCTGGGTGGTAGATGTGAAGAATGGCAGAGGATCCGTGCATCCCAACTCAGGTCAGTGCTGGGGTGCTGGCAGGTCCCTGAGACTGTCCTCCTGAGAGACTCCATCCGCCTGCTCTGCTTTCCCTGCAAGGGCCAGCTTAGAGACATAGAGCACCTCTGGCCTGCTTTCTCACACGCCATCTAATCCATCAGCAAAGCCGTCCTCTCCTACCACTGGCTCCATACCGTCATTGGTTTTCTGCCTAATCTGCCTCCTACTGTTCTTGTCCCCTTCAGGTTCTTCACACACAGGTTGCACTGATGGCTTTTTTTTTTTTTTAATTTTATTTTGTTTTGTTTTGTTTTGTTTAAAGATGTATGTATTTTATTGGAAAGGCAGATATACAGAGAGAAGGAGAGACAGAAAGATCTTCCATCCAGTGGTTCACTCTGGCCACAGTTGCCAGAGCTAAGCTGATCTGAAGCCAGGAACCTGGAACCTCTGGTTCTCCCACACCGGGTGCAGGGAAACAAGTGCCTGGACCATCCTCCACTGCTTTCCCAGGCCACAATCAGGTAGCTGTATGGGCAGTGGAGCAGCCAGAACACAAACCGGTGCCCATATGGGATCCCAGACGTGCAAGGTGAGGATTTTAGCCACTGATCAGGCCTAAGACTTAAATTGGCAATAGGTTAAGCCTTTGTGTGCCATGCCAGCATCCCATGTGGGCACAGGTTCAGACCCTGGCTGTTCTACCTCTGATTCAGCTGCCTACTGGTGTGTCTGGGAAAGCAGTGGAAGATGGCCACGGTCATTGTGTCCCTGTGCCCATGTGGGACACCTTGAAAAAGCTCTGGGCTCCTGACTTCTAGCTCTTCATTGTGGCCATTTGGGGAATAAATTAGGAGACTAAGACCTTTTTCTCTCTCCTCTTTCTGTAAAATCTGCCTTTCAAATAAAAAAAAAAAAGTTTTTTAAATGCCATTCCCTTTGATTGTTTTCAGTCCATTTTTCTCCATAGTACTATTTCCCTGTGATGTGCTCTGTGATATTTAAGGTGTGTGCTTGTTGATTATCTCACATATGCAGATATTGGCTCTGTGAGGTGAGGGCAGAACTTTTTTGCCTGGTGGATACACTGGCTGTGTTACCAGTGCCTATAGTATGTGACATGTGACAGGCTTGAAAAACGACCAGCAGAATGGAAGAACGGCACCCCATAAGCTTCAGCAAGTGGAAGCTGCCTTGTACTTTCCGTGATGTGATTAGAAATAGGATGGTTCAGAACCAACTTTATGGAGTGCTTAAAAGGTCACAACAGACGCCCAGTGCCGTGGCCTAGCAGCTAAAGTCCTCACCTTACATGTGCTGGGATCCCATATGGGCACCGGTTCTAATCCCAGCAGCCCTGCTTCCCATCCAGCTCTCTGCTTGTGGCCTGGGAAAGCAATCGAGGACGGCCCAAAGCCTTGGGACCCTGCACGCGCGTGGAAGACTGGAAGAGGCTCCTGGCTCCCCGCTTCAGATTGGCACAGCTCCAGCCATTGGCAGCCACTTGGGGAGTAAATCATTGGACGGAAGATTTTCCTCTCTGTCTCTCCTCCTCTCTGTATATCTGACTTTCCAATAAAAATAAAATAAGTATTTAAAAAAAAAAAAAAAGGTCATTATTGGAACTTTGAAAGAAGGTTTTTAAGATCAGTGAAATGTGAGAGCTCGGTGTTGGAGGACAAAGCTGACACTGGTGCACTGGGCCTCAGAAATTGCGAAGGGAGTGAATAGGACAGAGAGCAGCTCAGAGGATCTTTCTTGTCTTTCTTTCTTTCTTTCTTTTTTTTTAAGATTTATTTTATTTTTATTACAAGGTCAGATATACAGAGAGGAGGAGAGACAGAGAGGAAGATCCTCTGTTAGATGATTCACTCCCCAAGTGAGCGCAACGGCCAGTGCTGTGCCGATCCGAAGCCAGGAGCCAGGAACTTCCTCCAGGTCTCCCATGTGAGTACAAGGTCCTAAAGCTTTGAGCCATCCTTGACTGCTTTCCCAGGCCACAAGCAGGGAACTGGATGGGAAGTAGAGCAGCCGGGATTAGAACTGGTACCCATATGGGATCCTGGCGCATTCAAGGAGAGGACCTTAGTTTCTAGGCCACTGCGCCGGACCCCAGAGGATCTTTCTTTAAGTGAGCCAAGTGAGGTTGGCAGTGAGAAGGGCAGGCGCTGTTGGAGGGCAGGTTCCAGCGGCGCCCGAGGTGAGGTGGGTGGAGCCTGGAAGCCATGGAGGAGGAGCAGGTCTGTCATTGACGGCAGAGCTTCCTTGCTGATGCTCCAGGGAGGGAGGTCTGAAGCTTTCGCAGGGAGGCTCCGCCTGGGCTTTGCCTGCTACCTGTGCAGGGGTGTTGTGGAAGAGAGGAGGTTGGCAGAGCTTGGAGTCAGGAGGCAAAGTGAGGGGCACTGCTGTGTGCACCACTGAAGGGAGGACACAGTGAGTAAGAGGTTGAGCACTGAAAAGGATGATCTCTGATGTGGGCAGCTGGCTTTGTTGTAGAAAGTTCTAGAATAATGCATAGTCAGTCCTTCCTAGTCCCAAAATGAGTAGGCAGAAAAATGATTCTTAGCATTCAGTGAGCTGTCTCCAAGGTGGCACGGGCAGAAAAGCCAAGGCTTTGTGTGGTTTCTAGCTTTTGGAAACAGAAGGAATTAGGGGAAATACAGTAGTGCCTGCTTTTTAATGTCTGAAGGCTAGTAGTTACTTCATATTAACTTCTGAAATGTCCAGACAGCTGTTAAGGTGATTATTTAGTAAGCTTCTCCATTTCCACCTGCCTTGGTGTGCAAAGCTGTTGAAAGGTTTCAGAAGAGCCTTGTTCCCTATAGAAGTTTGCAGCGTTTTCTGTTCCAGAAGGGATCTTACGCTGGGACAGGGTGCTTTCTGTTGAAACTGACACTTGCTGGCAGCAGAAGGGGTGTTGAAATGTGGACTTACCCGATAAAAGCCACCACTGAAAATTGCTAGCTCCTTTTACATCAACCAACAAGTGACCATTTGTTAGAAATTTAGCCGCATTAAAGCATTGATAACCTGTCCTAATTTGAACTGGTATCTTAAAGAGAATTGCTTTTGGCATGTGCATAGTGTGCTGAGGTTTACTTGTAACAATGTGAGATTTACCTAGATAGATTTCATTGCATGCATTCCAAGAACCTTATAGTGATTATAGAGATGATTACATTATATTTACGTTTTGTGTGTCTTGCATAATTTTTAAAAAAGATCTTTTTTTGAAAGGCAGAGTAATGGGGCTAGGCAGAGATCTTCCATGAACTGCTGCATGTCCCAAATGCCTCCAACAGCGAGGCCTTGACCATATGGAAGCCAGAAGCACCATCCATATTTTCCACATGGGTGGAAGGAACCCAAGTTCCTGAACCATTGTCTGCGGCTTTCCCGGTCTGTTAGCAGGAAGCTGGAGGGGAAGCATGGAGTAGCTGAGATTCATGCTGGATACTCCTATAGGATATGTGTATTCCCAAGAGGCAGCTTCACCTCCTGTGCCACAACACCTGCCCCTGTGAGCGTTCTCACACGTATCTGCGGACATGAGTCCTCATTGGCACAGGGCATATAGCCAGGGGTAGAAATGCTAAGTAAGAAGGTTTAGGATTAGCCAGATAGGTCAGTTTCCATGCTGTATTAAAGAGGGTTTCAGTTACTCTACCTTTTTTTAAAAAATATATTTTATTTGTTTTTATTGGAAAGGCAAATCAGATTTACAGAGAGGAAAGACAGAAAGATTCTCCATCTACTGATTCACTCCCTGAATGGCCACAACAGCTAGAGCTGAGCCAATCTGAAGCCAGGAGCTTCTTCTGGGTTTCCCATGTGAGTACAGGGTCCCAAGGGCATGAGCCATCCTCTGCTGCTTTCCAAGGCCATAAGCAGGGAGCTGGATAGGAAGTGGAGGAGTTAGGACACTAACTGGAACCCATATAGGATCCCAACACTTGCAAGGTAAGGATTTAGCTATTGAACCATTGTACCTGCTCTTCCCATCAATCTCCCCCCAACCCGCCACCACTTTTTGTTTTGTTTTCTTCTTCTTTTTTTTTTTTTTATGAAGAAGACACAGCGATCAAGAGAGCTCCCATCTTCTGGTTCACTCTCCAAATGCCTACAGTGGGCTAAAGCATGACTGGGACAAAGTCAGAAGGCAGGAGTTCAATCCAGGTTTCTCGTGTGGCTAGCCAGGAAGACAGTTACTTGAACCATCATTACTGTATCCTAGAGACTGCCTTAGCAGGAAACTTGAAGTAGGAGCTCGATATTGAATCCAGGTAGTCTACTACGGGGTCCCAGTCCTCACTGCGATCTTAACTGGTGATAAATGCTGATCACCCTCAGAGTTATGTGGTATCTCATCATGGTTGTAATGTGTATTTTCTAGTGACTAGCGATGTTGGGTGTTTTTTGACCATTTGGAGGGCTTCTGTATAATGCTCACTGTCATATATCTTCTCCCCCTTACCTGATACCTGTTTTGCAGATGCTTTTATTGCAACAGCAGGCACACCCTCTGTATTTTTTGCACTACAGAGGCAGGGTTGAGTCATGATAGAGATCTGCTGCCTCACAGGACCTAAAATACTAAGTATCTGACCCTTTCTAGAGAAAGTGTGCTAACCCTGATCTAATGAGTGGGTCATTTCCTCTTGTTGCATAACAGATTTTTCACAAATTGAGTGGTTTAAGATGATGCTTAATTTGTCTTTAAGCCAAGAGTCTTATGTGCTGAGCAGTCACTATAAAATAATAATAGTCCACTTAGACTATAGGTAGGATCCAGTCAAATCCCAGATGCTCTCTTCCACAGGAGGCCTACAGGCCTCCGCCTTCACTACCTCCATGTCTCTAGTGATCCCTGAGAAATTTCAGCACATCTTGCAAGTCCTCAACACAAATATCAATGGGCAACGCAAAATAGCCTTTGTCATCACGGCCATTAAGGGTGTGGGGCAAAGATATGCCCACGTGCTGAGAAAAGCAGACATTGACCTCACCAAGAGGGCAGGAGAAATCACTGAGGATGAGGTGGAGCGGGTGATCAGCATCATGCAGAATCCCAGACAGTACAGGATCCCCGCCTGGTTCCTGAACAGACAGCAGGATGTGAAGGATGGCAAATACAGTCAGGTTCTGGCCAACAATATGGATAACAAGCTCCGCAAGGACCTGGAGCGGCTGAAGAAGATCGGGCACATAGAGGGCTGTGCCACTTCTGGGGCCTCCGTGTCCGAGGCCAGCACACCAAGACCACTGGCCGCCGGGGCCGCACTGTGGGTGTGTCCAGGAAGAAATGAGACGGCAGGCCTTTTCTGTTAATAAATAGTTTATATACTGTGAAAAAAGAATCCCAGATGCAACACGTATCATTAGATCTAGTGAAAAAATCTTTATATATATATATGTATAAAGTGATGTTCACATTTATTGCCTCAGAGTTCCTAGCTAATCTAGCCACATTCTGGTCCCTAGGATGACACAAAGCCATGCCCAAGGGTACTGGCCAGGGCTGGGCTCTCATTGCAGGCTGCACTAGGGAGGCTCTGTGGCCAGGCTTATGTTTCAGGTTGCCTGGCAGAATGTGTTTCCCTGTGGCTGGAACAATAACTCCAGCATTTGGCCAGCTGCAAGCTAGAGTTGCTCTTCACTTCTGAGGGATTGTGGTATGTCCATATAACACGCATAATGTAGCAGCTAGTTTAGAGCCAAACAGGAGAGCTGGAAGGAGTTTAGTACAAGGCAGTGAAGTGACAGGAATGACATCTCATCACCTGTGCCATGTTCTGTTGGCTGGCAGAACTACTCACAGTGGAGAGAGGGGGGTTGTGTGAAGGAATGAGCAGAAGGAGGCAGGACTGCAGGGGGCAACGTGTAGGCAGTGGGGAGCGACAGAGTGAAGACTCACTGCGTACACCTGTGCTTATATAATTAAATCCTGTTTTTAAGCAAAAATGCACTTGGTACTTTGGCTGGTATAATAATGCCACAAACACCATAGTTTTAATAGTTTGAACGTTTTTTCAGGTAAGTCTAGATCCACACCATGTCTTACAGTGGCCACCATGTATCCCATTATGTGAATATGCCATACTTTATTTCATCAGTTTGCTCATGTTAGTTCTGAGGCTGCTGGTGCTTTTTGCTGCATGTTACTGGGCTGCCACAGAGGCCAGGAGTTTCTGCTGCTCTCCACACTGCTTCAGGACTGGATGCACATCTTTAGCAGTCCCTGGGAAATGTGTGTGTGAAACTGACGGCTCTCCTTCTCTACAACTCTGTTTCAGATAAGAAGGCTGACTGCACAATCACCATGGCTGACTCGGACTTACTGGCATTAATGACTGGTAAAATGAACCCTCAGTCGGTAAGTGACGGTGCTCACAGCCCTTCCCTTCATCTCCTGTCTCATACCCACATGTGCGAAGTGGTCAGCCCATGCCACTCCCCAAGTGTTCACCTAACTCATAACAGATGTCTGAGGAGCAGGCTATATGCAGGACAGGCTGTCCTGTGTGTCATGAGAGCCCAGATGAGCGAGCAGTAGTTGCCATGCTCAGGATATCTGGTTAGGTCAGAGGCAGAACTGTAAAAGAATATGAGGCACTTCAAAAGTGCATGGGAAAATAGAAATAAAGGATAACGTGAATATCCTTCATGATTTTTTAAAAGATTTATTTATTTTTTTTTTAAAGATTTATTTTTATTATTTTTTCATTGGAAAGGCGGATATACAGAGAGGAGAGACAGAGAGGAAGATCTTCCATCCGATGATTCACTCCCCAAGTGAGCGCAACGGGCCGATACTATGCCGATCCGAAGCCAGGAGCCTCTTCCGGGTCTCCCACGCGGGTGCAGGTTCCCAAAGCTTTGGGCCGTCCTCGACTGCTTTCCCGGGCCACAGGCAGGGAGCTGGAAGGGAAGCGGGGCTGCCGGGATTAGAACCGGCGCCCATATGGGATCCCGGGCGTGCAAGGCGAGGACTCAACCACTTGCGCCACCGCGCCGGGCCCGAAGATTTATTTATTTTTATTGCAAAGTCAGATAAATACAGAGAGGAGGAGAGACAGAGAGAAATATCTTCCGTCCGATGATTCACTCCCCAAGTGACTGCAACAGCTGGTGCTGTGCCAATCTGAAACCATGAGTCCAGGTTCTGTTCTGGGTCTCCCACGCGGTGCAGGATCCCAAAGCTTTTGGCTGTCCTTGACTGCTTTCGCAGGCCACAAGCAGGGGGCTGCTGGGATTAGAACCGGTGCCCATATGGGATCCAAGTGCATTCAAGGCGAGGACTTTAGCTGCTAGGCCATGCCACCAGGCCCTCCATGATGTTTTTGAACCCCCCTTTGAAGCCAAGAATCCAATGTGTGGCCCCTGGCTTGTGGTTAGGGGAGGGAAGCGAGGAACAGGTACAACTCCTGAGGATGTCAGAGACAGGCTTGCAGGGGTGGCAGCAGTGAGTGGGTCCCCAGCTGACCAGAAGTTAGCAGGAGCTGGGTGGGGAGGAGTGGTCTGAGCCAAAGCCCCATGACCTTTCACAGTTTGTGTCTTCCTCTGCACTGTTCTTCGTGCCTGAGTTGTCCTTCCCAGACCAACTGTGAGGATGTTATTGACATGGACTTCCTCTCAAGTGACTGGGGGCAGTAGCCAGCCTTCTCTGAGCTGCCGCCTGGCCGACAGGCTGAGCACTTGCTGTGATACAGAAACCACTTGCCCGTTAGGGTGTGTCTCTGGGGCTCAGCACAATGTTAGATGCTTTTAGGTTTTTAGTAAGCACTTGCTAGGCTAAATTTTATTTGTGCAAAATTGATACCTTTGTGTGTACTTCCCTGATGCCCAAGTTGTCAAGTTTTTTTTTTTAAAGAAGTATTATTTTTGTTGGAAAGGCAGATGTACAGAGAGAAGGAGAGACAGACAGAAATATCTTTCCGCTGGTTCACTTAGCAGATGGCCATAATGACCAGAGTTGAGCTGATCTGAAGCCAGGAGCTTCTTCCAGGTCTCCCACGTTGAGCCATCCTTAACTGCTTTCCCAGACCACAAGCAGGGAGCTGAATGGGAAGTGGAGCAGTCAGGACACAAACTGGCACCCAAATGGGATCCCAGTGTGTGCAAGGCAAGGATTTAGCCACTGAGCCATCATGCTAGGGCCCCACATGATCCTTAAACTCTGTAGTTGAACAGACTTCATACACCGAGCTTTCCTTTGTAACTTCATTGTTTCTTTGACCTTGGCTGGAATCTCAGGTGTGGAGCTTGTGCCCGTTGTTTCCTCATGATCTGTGCCCCTGGCCCAGGCCCTGCAGCGTGACCACCTCTTGTGGTCCTCCGTGACATGCCCTTTCTAGGCAGCTCAGCTTGCTGTAGCTGATGCCACCCTGAGTGAGAGGTCAGCCTCTGGGATGGTCCAACTGAGACCACACCATTAGCACCCACATTACCCCCTTCCTCCTACATCTGCCCAGGTTCCTTCAGCACCTATTAGTAGCCAAAAGAATTAAAAGAATTAAAGATAGAAATGGCAGATGTTTCTATTCATGCGCTAATGTCCCTCCCTGTTGTTCAGTGGAGGATTTGGCTGAAAATCATCAAGTGCAGGGGAAGTTCTAAGTTCAGTCTTTGGTGACAGAGCAGTGTGCCCTGCCACAAAAGGCTCACAGGAGAGCATCTGGTTATTATTATTATTATTATTATTTATTTATTTATTGAAAGGCAGATTTTATTTAATTCTTATTTTATTTTTAATACTGTTTAGTTGGGACAGGTACACAACCTGTGTGGGCCTCCAATTAGGGTGGGTAGGATCAAGATGTGGAGGAAGGTGAGTGGGACAGATGTTTCAGTTCTTTCCTTTTTGTTCTATTGGTCTACTGAGGGGAAAGAAAGGGGACTGCTCCTTGTGTCAAACTACATCAGCACCTGGGGATGGAGGACAATCATTTGATCATGCCTTAAAGACCTGGCATGAGGAATGATGTTCCAAAGGTGTTACTTAAATGGTTTTGATAATTCTCAGGTTATCATCAGCTTCATTGCACCAGAGTTGAGAAAATCTTTTCAAGATCTATTGGCTGACCCAGGTCCACCTCAGTGTGCATCCGTAAACCCAGACACTTGCTGTAAAGCTTGGCCAGGAGAGTTGTCCATATTGTACTGTTCCCCATGCTCTGACAAGGCACTCAGTATCCTCTGCTGGCCTACATAAGCTGGCTGTCATGTCCGCCGTGTGCATCTGGGTGTGCTGTCCACTGCACAGGCATCAACCAGGTCCAGTCCTGATGCATGTGCTCCAAGGTCAGACCACATATCTTTTGGTTTTATCAATGGCCAGGGTTTGAGTCCTGTGATCTAGTTAAGGAGTCCCACAAGAAACCTAACCTGGGATGACCTCACACTAGACTGTTAGCTGCAACAGCCAGTATAAGGTTACATTTGGTCTTCACCTTCATCATCCAATGCATATACTGGTGGATGCAGCTGCCTGGTCAGTCCTGCCTCCACCCCCATATCTCACAGGAATTGATGGACTGCCTGATCCATTCTGCATCTCATCTGGTTCTCATGCATACCCATGGGTGCTGCAGCTGAGCTCAGCTTCATGTGCCCCCCAGACTTGGCTTACATGTATACTAGCAGGTACTGCCGCCCTGTTCATCCTGGCCCACCTTCAACCCTGACTCTCATGCTCACGAGCAAGAGCTGCAGCCCCAACAGGGGCGTGCCACAGTTTCCCTACCAGGTACACTCCCAGTGCTGGATCCTACACTTGCCAGGAGTAATGTCATCCAGCCTGACATGACTTGCACCCAGTCCCCGCACCTGCCAGCTGGTGCTGCAGCCTAGCTCGGCTGTCCTGCACCCATTTTGGCTCTCTCTCACATGAAAGGCAAATTTTACAGAGAAAATGAAAGATAAAGAAATTTCTTCCATCTACTTGTTTACTCCCCAAATGGCCACAATAGCCAGAGCTGAGCAGATCCGAAAGCTAGGAGCCTGTAGCTTTTTCCATGTGTCCCATGTGGACACAGGGTCCCAAGGACTTGAGCCATCTTTCATTGACTTTCCAAGCTATAAACAAAGAGCTGGATCGGAAATGAATCAGCCAAGACACGAGCCTGTGCCCAAATGGGATACCAATGCCACAAGGCTGAGGGTTAGCCTGATATATTACTATACTGGCCCCAACCTGTATGTTTGAGTTCTCAAAAGGTAGAAATTTCTGTCTTCTCTATTTTTAATAAATAACAGATAAGATTGTCTTTTAATCTGGAAAAGGGAAAGAAAATGAGTTTTTCTTTTACTACTGATCCGTATGTTTAAGTGACACATGTTAAATGTATTGTGTTCTGAGATATGTGGCCAAGTCATCAGATAGGTGGCTTTGAGCCATATAGAAAGGAAGTATTTTGTATGTCCAGAGAGGAAAAGAGAGGGAATTTGCATGCTCATCAGGAGGTGTGGACAGAGCAGTTCTGTGCATGCCCATGGATGGTGAGGCACTCCCAACTTCCTCATGCATGTGCTTAAAAAGCTGGTCCTTCCAGAGACTTCACTCACCTAGCCCTTCCTGGTTTTCAGAATTTACTTAGACTGAGATCATGGCAGCAAATTCATGCTATTTCTCTTAAATTTTCCCTGGATTTTGTTGCATACTGTATTTTGCAAACACTATGTGATCCCATCTCAGGCCATTGTTAAATGGGATAAATTGTGGTTCTGCACTTTGGTTTGATTTTTCTCGGTGAGCCGAAGAGTAACACAAGCACCTCCATGTCAGCTGCCTGTGGCCTGTTGAGTCAGGCCTGTATCGTGTGGACCAAAGAGAAAAGGTGGCAGTTCTTTCCAAGGGTTGAGTCCCAAGGGTTTCCAAGTGAGTTTTGTCTGCTTTTTCTCTCAGAAGCCTGCCTGAAATTCAGTTCATATTTCCACTTCACTTGTAATGTTTTTAGACAAAACCAGTGAAGCGTGCGCCCACTTTGCCGTTGGGGAATGCATCACCTTCAAGGAAGATGGGTAACAGCACAGTTGGTCTCTGAGTGCCTGCCTGTGAGCAGCCCCTGCTTCCTGCACCCCATGGGAAGCATGGTCCTTGTCCACTTTGCTTGTGAGGAACCTGATTCTCCATCTCAGCCGCAAAGCCTGGCTTCATGTTTGGCAGAAAGCTAAGGGGCCTGGATAAATCAGCGATCTCAGGGTTGGACACTCTAAAAATACCAGCACTCTGAAAACAGAAACAGCAACTAATGAACTTCTTTTTCTCTTCAGGCCTTCTTCCAAGGCAAACTGAAAATCACTGGCAACATGGGTCTGGCTATGAAGTTGCAAAACCTTCAGCTTCAGCCAGGCCGGGCCAAGCTGTGAAGGACTGCCCCCGGCCACTTCTGCAAGTCCACACAGGATGGATATATCGACGTACGTCAGCGTCAGAACTTAGGTGGAAGCTCCACTTCAGCAAATAGTGTGAAATCATCTAAAAGCTATGTAAACTAAAGCTCTTATTTTGCTAAAAAAAATCACATTTAAGGCAGATTCCTCTGAAGATTTAAGGTTTTCTGAGAACTAGAAATGATACAGAAAGAACAGATAGATGGTAATTAGTGTTTTGTACTTAATGCCGTCAATCAATTTCTTATTAATAGTTCTTAAAATTCTGTCCTGGAATTAAAAAAACAAAGCCTTAAATTTTGCATCATGCTGGCAGGAACCATATTTTCTTCCTGAACCAAACTAGAAGAAACAGAACCAGAGTTTGAGGGAGAAGTAAACAGCTGAACACAGGTCTGTTTTTAAAAGTATTTTAAAAATGGATTCCTTCTTGAAAAATCAGTGTATTAGAGTCATACCTGCTATTGTTTAAAAAAAGAGTGAATAAAGTTCGCTTTGAGATGCACAGTTTTCAAATGATATCTCAATCATTTATAACCTCAGTCCTTTGTAATTTTTTTCATGTTAAGCTTCAATAATTACCCACATTTATCTCTTTCCGTAGTTTTTCTAATGCTAATGTTATTTCTTACACTTACTGAGATACAGGGTAAAATAATGCTTTTGGAAGAATGTTTAATAGAAAATTAAAATTGCTCTTCCTCATCCCTTTGTTTTGACTGTGTGTGTTTCCTTTTTGCACAGAGCTTTTCAGACGAGGGAGAATAATGAGAAGCACTGGGGGGGGAGGCTCTGTAGACCAAATGCTCTCTGGAGTTACCTTCTAATTACCTTGACACAGTCATTCATTTGTTTCTGGGGAGGCCGTCTGGCATATTGGAAACAGCACTTGATTAGGAGCCAGCAGATGTGGCTTCTCTTAGGTGGATGTGTGCTGTGATGTCCAGTGTCATGCCCTGTTTTTTGGAGTGTCCTTCATATGTTCAGTCCTATAAATATGTATTGTATACTTGCCGCAAACTAGGGGCTGTACCGGAGGCCCAGGTGGTGATGGACTGTTCCCTCATTGTTTTTTTTTTTAAAGATTTATTTTTATTATTTTTTCATTGGAAAGGCGGATATACAGAGAGGAGAGAGAGAGAGGAAGATCTTCCGTCCGATGATTCACTCCCCAAGTGAGCGCAACGGTCGATGCTATGCCGATCCGAAGCCAGGAGCCTCTTCCGGGTCTCCCACGCGGGTGCAGGGTCCCAAAGCTTTGGGCCGTCCTCGACTGCCTTCCCGGGCCACGGGCAGGGAGCTGGAAGGGAAGCGGGGCTGCCGGGATTAGAACCGGCGCCCATATGGGATCCCAGGCGTGCAAGGCGAGGACCTTTTAACCACTTGCGCCACCGCGCCGGGCCCTCCCTCATTGTTTTTACAGTCTTAGGAGAGACAGGCAGAGAAGCTCAAGTTCCTGTGGACTGTGAAGCACCATGAAGAGACATCAGGCCATGGAGATCCCTGGCAAAGCGCCTTTGCGTTCACTGGGAAAGGATGCATCTCCCGGAAGGCACTTTTAAGCTGATACCTGAAGGTGGGGAAGGAGCAAACCAGGCAAAGCACAGGACCCAGAAGGGTGGGAGGGATTTGGCTTGCTCTGAGAATTGCTCCAGGCCATTGAGGAAGAATGTGGTAAGCAGAGAGAATAGGTCCTGGACAAAGCCAGTGGCCACACAAGAGTTGTTGACACTGGGATTTGCCCGCATGCTTAGACACTTGTGTTTCCTGCTTAGCGCAGTGGGGGCAGGCAAGACACAGCATTGTGGACGCCTTCCTCACTCCGGCTGCATAGTCACGCAAGACTGGAACCCAGGTGAATGGAGCAGCCACTCTGGGATGGTGTGACTCTCATGGCAGAGGAAGAGGAAAGTGATGTGGATCACGGTTACTCCCATTTTGTTGTTCACAGAGTGTAACATGCCATACCAAATTTCAAAAGTCTACCATGTGCTGAAAGAACAAGGTGGAGCTGGAAGATTTGTGAACAGAACCCATGGCTACCATGGATGTGCTAATAGGGGATTGAAAGTTTCAGCAATACCTGTAGGTGCTGTGTGGACAAAGTACCGGTAGGGGCGGGGTGGGGGGCAGAGAGGGAGAGGGCTAGAGAGCAGAGGGTGCAGGTGCAGGATGTACTCTGGGCTGGGGTGCCTGTTGGAGTTGGCACCTGGGTATAGGGGTAAGAATGACTCCAGTGACTGTCAGTTGTGTGAAAATATGAAATGAGTTCCACTTTGGAATTTTAATGTAGAGATGCCTGAGGTGTCCAAATGAGATGCTAAGAAACCTGTTGGATTTATAAGATGGGCTCAGAGGTGAGCTCAGCTTGGGGACACACATGTGGAAGTCATGAATATATGGGTTGTATTTAAAGCTGCAGGCATGGTGGATAGTACCTGGGACTGTGGGAAGGACAGTTGGGTGTAAGCCTTGGGAAACTTAAGCTTTTCACAGTTTTCAGGTAGAAAAAGGGGAAGGCTCAGTGATGGGGAGAAAAACTCCCTGAAGAGAGGGTAACTGGAGGTGTTTAAGGCCATCATTTGACCTTGGTACAAGGGTCAGGTTGGCTGATATCCAAGAAGAGTCTACCAGATGACAAGCAATGGGGAGGTCACGGATGGCGCTGTGAAGTCCCCTTTAGTAGGTTAGTAGGGGAAAAGCAAGATTGGAATTGGTGTTGTGAAGTCATGCAAATAGTAGCAGAGGAGCTCCATTCTCCTTTATCCTCCAAGACCTGCTCAGCTGTCTTTGCTTTTAGGAAATGGTCCCTCTTTGCCACAGAATAGAGCCCATGACTACTTTGTAGAGATTTTTTTTTTTCTGTCTCCCACCACAAGGGCAAAGCTTTGCATCTTCTGCATCCAGTCTTGGTAGCACCAGCACAGTCTTGGCCTAGTGCTGCTGAATGAATGAGCAAGGGTGCTGTGTTCCCTGGAGGCGTTTCTAAGGATACACTCCCACACGCCTACTCTTACAAAGACTCTCTGTTGCCATGCTATTGAAAGAGAACATTAACACATCTCCCTTGGCCTGACTCACCCTTGGCTTTGGAAACACTGGCAGCTTCTCACAACTATCAGCTTCAGAGTGAAGCAGCCAAGGCAGAAAGAAACCAGCCTAAGAAACATCCATCTGTTGGTAGTTTATTGTTTTAAAAAGCAAAGTGGCCTTGTGGATTCTTGTTTTGCTCTGCTTGCCCACATGGATTCACACCCAGATTTCTATAGTCACTGTTGAGTGTGTAGGAAGGATCTGAAAAGCATGATTGCAGTGTGTGGGGCAGTCACTGAGGTCTGATCAGAGGGGTCTTGGACCAGGACTGGGGTCAGGCTCGGCCTGTGCCTCCTGGCAACTAAGGCATCCATCTGTAGCGTTTTGTGCTGGTGTTTCCCTGGTGGCCCATGGTTTTGGAGGCCATGGGGCATGGCACTGACATTGGCATCTGAGGAAGTTCCCAGGGAGACCAGTGTCTGTCAGGAGCTGTAGGATCATGTGGTGAAAGCATATTTGAGAAAGGGGGAGACAAAGGATCTCATGCGGTGGGAGAGGAGCCAGGCTCGCTCTGGTCACCACCCTGTACATGGGAGCTAGCCCTTGGCAAGGGCAATTCTGACCCACTCACCTCCCAGCATGCTCCACTGCTTTTTTTTTTAAAAGTTTATTTGTGTTTATTTTTGAAAAGCAGAGTGAATGAGAGAGAAATCTTCCCATCAGCTGGTTCATTCTGCCAGCTTGTCTGCAACAGTTGGGCCTAGACCAGACTGAAGCCAGGAGCCAGAAGCTCAGGTTTTCCTGCATGGATGGCAGGGACCCAAGTACTTGGACCATCTGCTGCTGCATTCCCAGGGTGCTTGTTGGCAGGGAGCTGGATCTGAAGTGCAGGTAGGACTTGATCCCTGGCACTCTGATATGGCATGTGGGCAGGAGCCCCCTTAGGCCCTTACCATCTTTCAATATTGTGACACTGGAACCAATCTTCCAACATGAGAACCTTTGAAGGAGCAAGCCATCGTGTTTGGACCTCACCAGCTTGTAGTCTCTCCTTCAGCCCAAATGGAATACTTAATTACTTGGGCAGTCACTTTCATTAGGTACTAATATGTTTCTGCTGTGAATGCCGTGACACCTCTCCCCACCATCTCTGGAGGAAGCAGGAATGATTATTTCTTGGTCAAATGAAAGTCAGCCAATAGTCACACTCAAGTTCTTTTGAATTTGCAAAATACCTTGTAAATGATTCAATCACAGAAATAAAAGCTCTATCTTCTCCATAGAATCCACCTTAGGGGAGAAAAGTAGGAAATTAAATCCTACAATGAATAGCCTTGTCTAATGCAACTTTAGCAATTTCAGAAAGCAACATACATACAGCAGGATGGTGTAGACCCATCAGATGTGGGGTCTGGTCCTCACTGTGCCGTTTTAAACCGCTCTGGGACCCTGGCTGATAGTATGCAAACACTCCTCACTGGCTTCTCCCTCCGTAAAAGCACAGTGCTCACCTTGCTGGCTGCAAGCATACAGCGAGGCCTCCACAGACAGCGTCTGCTGTTGCTGGAATGTTCTGAGAGTCCTCTGAGCTCCCTCCACCAGCTGGCCCAGGATGCCTGTCTGCATCCTCACATTCTCCTCCAGAGTACTAAGGCTTTGTCTCCTTAACTCAGCACATTCAGGGTAACTTTCCTAAGATTCGCATTTCTGCTACAGTTTAGAGTTCTGATTGCCCATGTCACAGTGATTGCTGTTTGAACATAAACAAGTTGCTTGATAATCAGCCAGACTCATTCCCCTGAGTAAATTGCTCTGAGGGGATCAGGTTGGTGTGGCAACCCCTACAGGAAGCAGGGGCTTGGGGCAAAGGCTCTGCCATCAGGAACCACAGCCAAACCTGGCCACATTTTGAGAGTTTGGATAGTTACAAAATCTCTGGAAAGGTCCTATATTAAATCTATCTGGAGACTGCTGCAAATAAACAGCCCTTTAGTTCTTGGTAAGAACAGAGAACACTGAGCCGGATTTCTGGCCTGTAGGAGACGTGGAGTCTGATTCCATGTGGCTGAGAAGTTTAATCCCGTGTGGAGTTTCAGCCAGACATCTTGGAGAAATATTTGTTTTTTGGTTTTTAAAATCATGTTGAACGTATTATAAAAAAGTGTTGTCCGTGTAAATGTAGCCTACAGGTAATCAGCAAAGCACTTTGTCAGTGCAATACTGTTTTCAGCAGCCAATAATCAGTGCTCAACCTTTGAGTTCCTGAAAGGCAGACCATAAACTTTCCTGTCGCCGGGATAGTCGGCTGTGTATGTAAATCACAGGCAGAGAAGCTGTTAGTGCTGGTTGTCCAGCTGAGTGGCAGGCAGCGATGGTTTCTGTGCAAGTTGCATTGGAGCACATGGCATCTCTTAGAATGTGTGGGGACCAGGATGTAGAGGACACGGTGGTCAGTGCAAACCACTGACTTAGCAGCTGGCCGAAGCCTCAGGCTTGGCAAAATAATCACCAAAGGCAAGCTGGGCAGCAGCTCACATTTGAGAGAAAGACCCGCCCTGGGGAGAAAGTGTTTTGGTTAGTCATTAAAAGGGGGAAAATACAGACTGAAGTTTCAGAGTGGAAATCAGTTGGACCACCTGACCAGAGATAGGTCTCAAGTGGACTGAAAGCTC